CTCGTCCTTCTCTTCATTAAACTAGACATACCCAATTCCAGCAACCGTTCCTTATATGTTTTAGCCTCCAGTCCCCTAATCATCTTTGTTGCTCTTCTCTGTACTCTTTCTAGAGTCTCAACATCTTTTTTACATCATGGTGACCAAAACTGGATGCAGTATTCCAAGTGTGGCCTTACCAAGGCATTGTAAAGTGGTAATAATACTTCACATGATCTTGATTCTATCTCTCTGTTAATGCAGCCTAGCACTGTGTTGGCTTTTTTGGCAGCTGCAGCACACTGCTGGCTCATATTTCAGTGATTGTCCACTAGGACTCTGAGATCCCTCTCACAGTTACTACTATTGAGCAAGGTACCCTCTATACTATACCTGTACATTTGGTTTTTCTTACCTAAATGTAGAACCTTACTTTTTTCACCATTGAATTTCATTTTGTTAGATAGTGCCCAGTGTTCAAGTCTGTCCAGATCCTCTGTATCTTAAGCCTGTCTTCTGGAGTGTTGGCTATTCCTGCCAGCTGGGTGTCGTCTGCAAATTTGACGAGTTTCCCATCTATACCCTTGTCCAAATTGTTGATGAAGATGTTGAAGAGCACTGGGCCCAGAACAGAGCCCTGGGGCACCCCACTACACACTTCCCTCCATGTAGATGCGGTTCCATTGAGGACCACATGCTGAGTACGGCCAGTCAGCCAGCTACGAATCCATCTGGTGGTGATGCTGTCTAACCCACACTTTTCTATCTTCTATTTTCTTTCTCAAGATAAAATAGTTCACATAACAAATTTGGTGGTTTTTAACATCTCTCATCTGACAATTCCCATACAATAGACTAAGATCTTGAGTTAAAACCTGTTGGTGATAAGACCCAACAGAAACAGGTCTATCTTTTCTCAAAGATTTCCTTTATAGAGGTCAGTTGTCTAAATATTTTGCTATAATCTTCCTTTCCCTCAATCTATTTTTATTCTTCTTATTCATAAGCCTGATTTGATAGTGATCATGGTTTTCAACATTGCTTGGATGTCTTTTTTTTTTTTAAACAGATTTGCAACTTTTTTCCAGAGAGCATTAACTAGTGAAAGCCATGAGAACAGAGACTCGTGAGGATTCTTTTTTCACTTCTGGTTTTACACATGAGGTAGAGCCCATAATTCTGTTCCTTTATGATGCAATCTAGGAAATTCCTAGGATCCTGCTTGGAAGCACAACCAGCCATTTGTTTAGAGGAGGTTGCCCTGTTTGCAGGGCGTCCTTGAACGTCTTTGGCAGTAATGGAGTTTACTTTTTATAGTTGTTTGTTTGGGGTTTTGTTTACCTGGATTCTCTACTTCACCTTTTTTGTATTGGATGAGTTTTGTAACAGGTTCTGGAATCCTTGTATCTATTCCTCTGGCTTCTCTGAAATATCCCCCCAATTTACACCTGCCGCTAAAAAGGTAACTATTATATTATACAATGTACCAGAGTTTTTAATGGGCCCATAAAGTCAGCGCAAAAATAAATCAGCTTAACTGAAAACAGGATAGAAGAATTTGTGTAACTTGTGAATGCAAAGTGCTTTGTTCCTTCCAGTTTGGTGAAGTGCTTACTCAATGCTCCAGGCAAAAACACATTGACTACATGACACATATGTGAAACCTTCTGTCAAATAGGCTCAGTGACACACAATTTAAGAAAAATGGAGAACAAATTAATGGCAAATTCACTATTGAATAATATTCACTAGTGAGTATAGAAGTTCTTTATTTTTCCTAAGAATACACATAAGGCTGATAATCAACATATTGCTAGAAACATAAAATGTGTTTTATTGGGTCAAAGCTTACTAGTATTTAGAGTAAACTCACTGGAATCTTTGAAAGTCATAATTAATTTCTTTGAAATCAAGAGCTTCCACTAAGTAAGACCCA